TGGCCTCCGGACCCCACAGATGGTGTACAGGAAGCGCGGGTGAAGGCAGCAAACCTCTCCGACATCGTCCCCAACACTGAGTCGGAGACCAAAGTCAGCATCCAAGGTGAGAGCCGGAGAAGGGACACACGTGGGGACGAGCTGGGAGGGGACGGGCCACGCTCCTGGCTTGACATCTCCCCTTCTTCTGGTCCAGGCAACCCCGTGGCTGTCATGGTGGAGAAAGCCATCGACGGGGACAAGCTGAAGCACCTCATCGTGACGCCATCGGGCTGCGGGGAGCAGAACATGATTGGGATGACGCCCACTGTCATCGCCACCCACTACCTGGACAGCACGTTGCAGTGGGAGACCTTCGGTGTTGACCGCCGCACTGAGGCCATCAACTTGATTAGAAAGGGTAGGAGCATCTCCCAAAGGGTGGGACCACCCCTTGGTTTCCTCTCTTGGGGTTCAAAGTGTCGCTGTTGTCTGAGGTGCTGGAGAGACCTGCACCTTTTGAAGAACACATGGGTTGGGTGCTACCAGTTTGGGGATTTCTGGAGCTACTGGTTTGTACCAGAACGTGCTCCGGAAGGGGTTGGTGGCCTGAAGCTTCCTCAGCTTGGTTGGATGCTCCTTGTGTTGGCCAACAACCGGAAGGGCGTTGGTGGCCTGAAGCCACCCCTAGGTGCTCCTTGTGTTGACCGACCACCATCTTCTCACCAGGTTACACCCAACAACTTGCTTTCCGGAAACCTGACAGCTCCTATGCCGCCTTCAAGGACCGCCCAGCAAGCACCTGGTGAGGGTCACGTTGCCACCACCACGTGGGTCCACATGACAGGGTTGGCCATGATGTTAAAGGTCTTCCTGTCCCCAGGTTAACAGCCTACGTGGTCAAAGTCTTCGCCATGGCCATCAAGCTGGTAGACATTGAGCCCGAGGTGATTTGCGGTGCTGTGAAATGGCTCATCCTGGAGAAGCAGAAGCCAGATGGGATTTTCCAAGAAGATGCTCCTGTCATCCATAAGGAGATGGTGGTATGATGATCATCCCTGCTGGTGGCCAAAGCCCTGTTGGCTTTTAGAATGAGCTGTGGGGCCAGGACTGTGTTGGGTGACAAGGACGAGCGTTGGGTGGACTGAGCCTGCTCTGAAGACCACGATCCTGAGGTTCTTCCCCTCCGTTTTGTCATGCCAGGGAGGCTACCACGGTGCCGAGCCCGAGGTGTCACTGACGGCCTTCGTCCTCATCGCGCTGCAAGAGGCCCGGGAGGTCTGCAAGGACCGTGTCAACGTGAGTGGCCTGGTCCTCAAGCCTACACGGGGAGAGGGAGGACAGCTGGCACCTGTCACATAGGAGAGTGCCTCAAGACGAGGTGCCTAACCCTTAGAGCAGCCACCTGAGATTCCAAACTTCCGATCCTTTTCACCCAGAGCTTGGATGGGAGCATCACCAAAGCCGCTGAATATCTTGCCCGGAGGTACCAGTCGTTGGCCCGACCCTACACGGTGGCCCTGTCCTCCTACGCCTTGGCCATGGCCGGGAAACTCAAAACCGAGAAAGTTCTCATGAAGTTTTCCAAAGGTGACATCTCACCAGGGGTGGGGGACAAAACTGGAGTGGGTGGGTGGGAGACGTAGTTATGGGTTCCCTGGTGGGGGGAGAAGCCATACCTAGAGGGTGCTGAGGGACCAATGTCACCCCAGAGGGCAAAAGCTGGGAGGAACGCAACGCCCATACCTACAACATCGAGGGGACGTCCTACGCGCTGCTGGCCTTGCTGCAGATGGAGAAGGCGGAGCAGACGGGGCCGGTGGCCCGCTGGCTGGCCCAGCAGAACTACTTTGGTGGTGGCTACGGATCCACTCAGGTGGGCTACGGATCCCCCTGGCACCCACGGGTGCTGCCCTGGCGCCTGCTGCCATGGGGAAGGAGGTTGGGAAGGTTGAGGACTTTGCTGGGGGTTGAGGAGTCACCTTGTAGGGACATGATGTGTCTCTTGAGGGGACACCTCTGGTCCCATGGGACCCTAAAAGCATTGGGGGACCCCTCAGGGCTTGAGAGTCACCTCAGGGCCATGGCATGTCCTTGGGGAGCACCTCTGGTCCCATGGGATCTCAGGGGCTTTGTAAAACCCGAAAGGCTTGTCCCTGGGGGACATCTCCAGATCCCAGGGACCCTGGGGGACATGTCCTGTCCCTGGGGGACACCTCTGCTCTGTAAGACCCCCAAGGGTATGTTCCAGGTGATGCCAGGTGGCCACAGGACTTGGGGTGCCCCCGGGCTCAGGGCCACCCCAGGGTCTTCGGGATGTTGTCCCCCAAGCCCCAATGACACGGGTGTCCCTGCAGGCCACCATCCTGGTGTTCCAAGCGTTGGCCCAGTACCAGGTGGCGACCCCACGGCAGCTCGAGCTCAACCTGGACGTGTCGGTGCTGCTGCCGCGCCGCGCCAGGGCCGTCACCTACCGCATCGAGAACCGCAACGCCCTGGTGGCACCCGCCGAGGTCCCCGTCACCGGCGTCACCCGCAGGACCGCGGTGGCTGTTGTTGTCCGTGGGACATCCCTGTCCCTTCTGTGTCTCTTCATGTCCCGGGATAACCTTGTCCCCTCGCGACGGCCGTGGGTGTCGCTGTCTCTTCCGTGTCCTGTCCCCTTCCAAGGCTTGAGATGTCCCTGCCGTGCCCCTCCAGGTTGATCTTGTCCCCTCCCCGGGAACGTCCCTGTCCCCTTCGTGTCGCTCCACGTCCTTCAATGTCTGTGTCCCCTTCGTGTCCTGGGACGTCCCCATCCCTTCTACACCTCCTCCATGTCAGGATGCCCCATCCCATCCATGTCCCTCCTGGAGGATGTCCCTGTCCCTCCTTGATGTCCCCATCCTTCCCCAATATCTCCGTTCCTCTCCAACGTCCCCGTCCCTCCTCGATGTCCCCGTCCCTCCCCACCGCCCCCTCTCCCCGCAGACCAAGCTGAACGAGGACTTCACGGTGAAAGCCGAGGGCACGGGCAAGGGCACGATGACGGTGGTGACCGTCTACAACGCCAAGGTCCCTGACAAGGACAACAAGTGTGACAGCTTCGACCTGCGGGTGCAGGTGGATCCCCCAATGCCCCCGCTGCGTCCCCCACCGTGTCCTGCCCCATGTTCTCTGCGTGGACACTCCGTGCCACCTTGTGTCACCTTCATGTCCCCTCCTTGTCCCCCGCCACAGGCAAGGAACTGGATGGTGTCATCCGCTCCGTCAAGATCACCATCTGCACCAGGTAGGGCAGGATGGAAACGTTGGGGACGTCGGGGACAGGGAGGGGACAGGGGACATCGGGGAGAAGGGTGGGGACGTTGGGGACAAATGGGGCTTGGCCCCACCTCATCCCTGTTCCCAAGGATCCCCTGGGACATCGGGGATGGGGATGGTGGGGACAACAGGGTGGTTGGGGACAGGCAGGTGGCCTCAGCCCTGTCCCCACAGGTACCTGGACAACGTGGATGCCACCATGTCCATCCTTGATGTCTCCATGCTCACGGGCTTCTCGCCTGACCTCCAGGACCTGAAGCGGGTGAGTGGGGGAGATGCAGGACTTGGCACCTCTGTGCCATCGTGTCCCCAAATCTCCTGAACCCCACTGCGTGTCCCCCATGTCCGTGTGTCCCCACGTGTCCCCCACCTGCCCGGTGTCACCGTGCTGTCCCCATCCCCAGCTCACGGAGGGAGTGGACAGGTACATCTCCAAGTTTGAGATCGACCAAGCGCCGTCGGACCGCAGCAACCTCGTCATCTACCTCGACAAGGTGGGACCACGGGGGACGTGAGGGACATGGGGATGGGGACGAGGACAAGGTGGGACAAGGGTGGGGATGGACAAGGATGGGTGTAGGACGGAGTTGGGGACATGGGCAGGGACAGGATGGGGACAGGGATGAGGATGAAGCTGGAGAGAGGGGTGGGATGGGGACGTGGGTGAGGTTGGGGACGTGGAAAGGGACTGGGACAGGGATGGAGATGGAAACGAAGCTGGGGACATGGATGGGGATGGAGGTGGGGACAGGAAAAGGATCTCCAGGGTGGGGACAAGGACAGGGATGAGTCCAGGTCATGGAGAAGGACAACATGGGGATGTGGCTGGGGACAGGGCCAGGCTGGGGGTTGGAGTGCTGACTGCTGTCCCCGTGTCCATCCCCGTGTCCCCGTCCCCAGGTCTCACACGAGGCCGAGGAGTGTTTCGCCTTCAAGGCCCACCAGCGATTCCAGGTGGGCTTGATCCAGCCTGCGGCTGTCACCGTCTACAGCTACTACAAGATCGGTGGGTCCCGTGTCCCCTCTGGTCCCCTCCGTCCCCACGCTCTCCTCCGTGTCCTCCCTCTGCGTACCCTCTTGTCCCTTCGTCCCACCATGTCCCTCCTGATCTTCTCCCCATGCCTGTGTCACCACATCCCTCCGTGTCCCTGACCCTCTCCCTCCGCTTGTCACCGGTCTGTCCCCATGTCTCCCGCTGGTCCTTTTCCCATCGTGTCCCCCCCACCTCATGGCCCCGTGTCCCTGCAGATGACCGCTGCACCCGTTTCTACCACCCGGACAAGGATGGTGGACAACTGAGCAAGATCTGCTACGGGGACGTGTGCCGCTGCGCTGAAGGTGACGTGGGGACACAGGGACGTGGGGACGGAGTGGGTCAGCGCCCCTGCTGTGATGGGACACCTCATGGCCTTGATGGGACATGTCATGACCATGATGGGACACATCATTGTGATGGGACACGTCATGGCCGTGATGGGACATGTCATAGTCATAATGGGAAACATCGTTTTTGTGGTGGGACACGTCATGGCCATGATGGGACACATCATTGTGATGGGACACGTCATGGCCGTGTTGGGACACGTCATAGTCATGATGGGAAACATCATTTTTGTGGTGGGACACATCACGGCCATGATGGGACACGTCACGGCCTTGATGGGATGTGTCACGACTCCGATGGAGTCACGTCCCTGCTGTGGTGGGCCATGTCCCCGCCATGATGGGACGTGTCACGACCACGATAGACCTTGCCATGACCATGTCCCCACAGAAAGCTGCTTCGTGAAGCACGAGCGAGATGACCCGATCACCGTCAACCAACGCATCGAGCGCGCCTGCGAGCCAGGAGTTGACTATGGTGGGACATGGGGCACATGGGGGACGTGGCGTCGTGGAAGGAGAATAGAGGATATGGGGTCACGGCGGGAGCTGAGGCACAGAGAGGGGACATCAAGGGTGCAGATGGGGATGTGGAGGACCACAGAAGAACGTGAGGGACACGGAGAGACAGGAGGGGACTTGGAGGGACAAGAAGGGGATGTAGAGGGACGTGGGGAGGAGCTGAGGTGCCACCCTGGAGTGGGGGTGACACGGTGACATCCTCCTCCCCAGTGTACAAGGTGAAGATGGTGGCGGTGGAGCAGTCGCCGTCCCACGACAACTACATCATGACCATCCTCTCCGTCATCAAGATGGGTACGAGCACCCCGGGGCTTGGGGGTCAAGGCCACCCTGAGGGACATGGTGGGGGACAACCAGGGGTGGGGACACCCACGTGGGTTTGTGTCACTAGGGTGGCTTGGGGGCCCACGGAGGGGTTGGCATCACCCAAGGGTGCTGGGGACACCCGTTGGGAAGGGCCATCCGAGTGGGTTGGTGTCACCCAAGGGTGCTGGGGACACCTATGAGGGCTGATGTCACTCAGGTGGGGTGGTGACACTCAAGGGTGGTGGTGAAAGCTGGAAGGAACTGGTGTCACCCGTGGGCTGATGGCACCCATAGGGTGATGCCACCCATGGCTGATGGCACCCATGGGGTGGTGCCACCAAGGATGCCAGGGACACGGCAAGGTGGGTGTCCCTGTCGGGTTGGGGTGGAGGTGACACCTCACCGGCGTGTTGTCCCCTGGCCCAGGCACCGACGAGAACCCGGCAGGAAGCAACCGGACCTTCGTGAGCCACCGGCAGTGCCGAGACGCTCTGAAGCTCCAGATTGGCCAAGACTACCTGCTCTGGGGGTTGGCCTCCGACCTGTGGGTCACCGGCACGGGACATGGGTGGGACCATGAGACACGGGACGTTGGGGACACGAGTAGATGGGCTATGGGGACACGGAGACACGCGGCCATGGGGACACCTCCAACCTTGAGGTTCTCCAGTGTCTCCTAGAGGGTTGTGCATCCTCATCGCCCATCCATACGTGTCCCCACCCCACCTTGGTGGGGTGCCACCCTCTTCTGACCCGTGTCCCCCTCTGTCACCTCGCTGTCCCCAGCTTCTCCTACCTCATCGGCAAGGACACGTGGCTGGAGGCATGGCCCTCGGAGGAGGCGTGTCAGGAACCCGACTTCCAACCCCTCTGCCAGGACTTCGTCGAGTTCGCCGAAGCCATGACCATGTTTGGGTGCCCGTCCTGAGCCGGTGCCCCCCACCCATGGG